CGTGATGAGAGCACGGAAGATGATGAAGAAAGGCTGCCACACATACCTTGCTTACGTGGTAGATCAAACAAAAAAGGAGGTCGACATCAACGATGTACGTGTCGTGTGTAAGTATCCGGACGTCTTTCCCAAGGACTTACCGGGGCTTCCACCCGATAGAGATATCGAATTTGTGATTGAAGTAGAGCCGTGAACCAAACCCATTTCGATTCCTCCTTATCGAATGGCACCGGCAGAACTTCAAGAGTTGAAGGTCCAATTACAAGAACTATTGGACAATGGGTTTATTAGACCTAGTCATTCACCGTGGGGAGCACCGATACTCTTCGTGAAGAAGAAAGACGGTACACTAAGAATGTGTATCGACTACCGACAACTGAACAAGGTCACAATCAAGAATAAATATCCTCTACCAAGGATTGATGATTTGTTTGACCAACTTCGGGGAGAAATGGTGTTCCCAAAGATCGATTTGAGGTCGGGCTATCACGAATTGAAGATCAAGGAAAGTGACATACCTAAGAGTGCATTTCGCACTAGATACGGTCACTACGAGTTTCTAGTGATGTCATTTGGTTTAACCAATGCACCGACAACATTCATGGACTTGATGAACCGTGTGTTTAGTGAGTACTTAGATCAATTTGTGATTGTATTCATTGATGACATCTTGATATACTCGAAGAATGAGGGAGATCACGAGCATCACTTAAAACTTGTACTTGAACGACTAAGGGAAAAACAACTCTTTGCCAAGTTCTCTAAGTGTGAATTTTGGCTCAAGGAGATTGGCTTCCTTGGTCATATCATATCCGGTTCGGGCGTTGCTGTGGACAACGCCAAAATAGAAGCCATTATAGATTGGGAGAGGCCCAAGAATGTGAAAGAGATACACAGTTTCCTTGGCTTGGCGGGATACTACCGTAAGTTCGTAGAGAAATTCTCCTTATTGGCGTCTCCATTAACGAAGCTCACAAAGAAGGGGGCCAAGTTCATATGGGACGACAAGTGTGAGAAAGGATTCCTTGAACTAAAGAAAAGACTTACCGAAGCACCAGTTCTCGCCCTATCCATACAGGGGATAGGGTATGATATTTACAGTGATGCTAGCATCCAAGGGCTCGGATCTGTACTGATGCAGAACGGTAAGGTTATTGCCTACGCTTCTAGGCAATTGAGGAAACACGAGGTGAACTATCCTACCCACGATCTAGAGTTGGGGGCGGTAGTGTTTGCATTGAAGATTTGGAGACATTATCTCTACGGGGAGACATGTCGCATTTATACCGATCATAAGAGCTTGAAGTATGTATTCACTCAGAAAGAGTTGAATATGAGACAAAGGAGATGGATGGAGTTGATCAAAGACTATGATTTGATCATTGACTATCATCCCGGAAAGGCCAATGTAGTGGCTGATGCATTAAGCAGGAAGAGTACGTCGGGGACGTTACTCACATGCCTACGAGCGTTGCGGGCACATGTGGAAGTGTCCTCGAGTGGGGCGCTCATAGCTAGATTTGAGGTTAGACCTACGTTGCTGAGTGAGATCAGTAGAGGTCAGGGCATTGATGAGGAATGTCATAAGGTCCGCGAACGGATCCTTGCGGGACCCGTTGAGGATTTTCGCGTACGTGATGATGGCCTTTTATTGTTCAAAGATCGCGTATGCGTACCCCATAATGAGGAACTCCGGAAATCCATACTCGAGGAAGCTCATTCTTTAGACTATGCTATGCATCCAGGACGTACAAAGATGTACCGAGACCTGAAGGAAAGTTATTGGTGGTCTGGTATGAAAAGAGACATCGCGGAGTATGTGAGCCGATGCCTTACTTGTCAACAAGTTAAGGCGGAGCATCAGCACCCGGCGGGACTTTTGCAGCCACTTACCATTCCAGAATGGAAGTTGAAGCTAGAGCCTGTTGTCTACACCTTTGCACGGGTGGAAAGAATCTAGAGGAAGACGTGGTTCGTGCTTCCTTTACTATTTTAAATCATAAACTATGCTCATGGATACTTTTGTAATATTACATTGTTTTGGCCTGCGAGCCTACGTTTTGCCATATGTGGCTTATGATTGACCGTTGAATATTTTCCGCTATTCATTCAATCTATGATGTGATGTTGTTATGTATGTTTACTACTGAGTATGGTGTGAACGATGTTCATGAACGCCTTGTGTGATTATGTGAGGTTGACTTGCGAGTGACGTCACTTAATCACACGGCGGTTGTACACGCGCTTAGATGCGGTCTGGGGCGTGACAGTATATCAATTTAGTTGTCATGTTAGATGGTATTTGGGTATTTAAAAATATACTTTAAATGCCATCGCGGGTCAAGGGTGTGATCGGCCAACAATCGGGTCGGTTTAGGGCGAAAAGGGCATTTTCGGCACTCGGGGCAACCCCGAACCGACGCTGATTGGACCCAAATCGGCGCCGGTTGGACCCAGATCGGCGCCGGTTGGGCCATGACCGGTACCGGTCCAGACAATTTTTGCCCAGGTCAGTGCAGGTTGTATTTAAACGGGAAAAACTCCCTTTTACCCCAAAACGAACCCTTGCTCGACTCCATCTCTCTGAAGTGATCCCAAACCCTTCCTTGGCTATTTCAAGCTCAAATTAAACCTATTCTTCATCAAAGATCATCACTTGGTAAGGTTTTACACTTAACATGAAGTATTTCTACTATATTTGTATCTATAGTTCTTGGTTGGGGATTTTTCTAGGGTTGATTGATTTAGGGTTTATTCTAGGAAATTTAATGGATTTTCTTAATAATAAGGTTGTTATGGAGTTGTTGTTCATCCTTGATTAAAAACCCTTGTGAAGTTTTAATTATTTAGCTACCCCAAAATTATACCCAATTTAATGAAAGAATTTGGGAAGTATTTAAATGATTAGTGGCCGATTCTAAATAGATACATGGAGTCCTTGATATTATGAGAGGGAGTTAATAGATGATGAGTCTTGATTCATGAAATTCAATCGGATTCTTAGTTATCTAGCCACCCCGAATGTATGCCCGGTTTGTTGTAGGAAAAGGGGGAGTTTTCTAACTTGTAGCTAGGGGCTGATTTGTGTACTTTCCCTCACCTTAAGTCTAAGGATTTTCTAAAGACATGATTTTAAGTTTGATCAAGTATAATCTTGTGTATTTATAATTATAGTTGCTCATCAAAGAACCGTTGCTCGTGGACACCGTACACGCACACACAAGTGCAAATACTCCGCGTGAATCAGGTAAGTCACCACCACCTATACATGATAGTTCTAAATAAAGTGTGGAAGATTAGCTAATTATGAATATGATATATGTGCCTGGTTTTTTGAAATTTGTATGGTATGAAATATGTGGATTCCAAGTTATATGCACCTATTGACAGGTGGTGTTAATTGTAAAGTTATGGAATATTGTGAATGTGATGCATGTGCATGAATACTTGAAATTGTATGACATGAGATATGTGAATTTCAAGTTCTATCTTTGAGTTTGGGTTGGATTCATATGAAATGAACAATGAAAGGAAGTGATGATGATAATGAAAGTAAAGAAAGACATGAAATGTTACAAGGTAGCCGTTCCCCCAAGTAACTACCTGAGCTGAGCGTAGCGGGATCTCCTTTCGCGGGGAGTCCCGGGGTTGCTTCTGATGGCTGAGGGCTAGCTACCCGAGGTCAGCGAGGGGCCAGGACACGAGCTACGGGCCCATCAAGTCAAGGAATAAGATAAGAAGAAAGAATGTTGAATAAGGAAATCTTTTGGTGTTTGATACATGAACGCTTATGTGTTGTTATCATGTGTGATTATAGTACATATGTGGTGTGTTCAGCATGGGTATCTATTTATGATTAGCTAAGATTCCCTAAACGTTTTTAGTGGATGAAATGGTGACTTACTAAGCATTATTGCTTACGAGACTTCTATTTTCTCGTATTCTCATGTATAGGTAATGAACAAGGTCCGGAAGCCTGAGAGAATGTATGGAGCCGGTGGCAAGGTTTTGGATGGGTTAACGGAGAAGATCGGGCTATCAGTTATGTTGTGGTTTTAGTATGTTGGTACATCAAATGGTTGTTAAACGTTTTTAAAATCCTGATCAGGTGTAATGGTTTTACAGATGTTTTATTTTGAATGCGTTTCATTATGGTTGTAAGGTTTGATTTTGTTCTAAAAGAAATAGTCTCATATCGAGGCTTTGTATCTTTAGTTCCGCTTGATTTATCGAGTCTCTTTTATGTTTGAGTATCGTAATGGCCATTTTGGGGACGGTCGTTACAGTTTGGTATCAGAGCACAGGTCCTTCCGAACTCCATCCATTGCCACACACCGCTCGACATCTCTCAGGTAAGTGAGTAGTTAGAGGAATAGAAGAATAAATATTACTTCATATAGTGAACTAACTACAAATGTTGGATACATATGTGTGATGTGTATTCATTACATTGTGGAGATGTTTCATGAAGTGTTGTAAATCATACGGGTAGGCTAGGCAGCAGGCCTGGATCTAGCAAACGTGTACAGGATTAATAGTTTATAGCCCTGTAAAGTACTGATCCCTTCAGGAGCGTCTCACCACCATTTCAGGTTGAGGCTAGAGCTTGCTTTCTGTACCCATTGCTCGGGCGATCATCTTGGAGAGGAGACTTGATTCATGCTACCTCCATTCTGTTTTGAACAATAATAAACTTGCTCATGTATATTTTACTTAAGAGTTTGCGTGCTCATGTTTGCCCCGTGTAGCATTTGGTTTTAAACTATAATTTCCGCTACGTATTGAATTGCTTATTATGATTGTTTATGGATGATTTTATGTGTATGATATTCATTACGCCTTGTATGGTGTGAGTAAGCTTGACTGCGGTTGACTAATCTTGATTGTACGACGGTTGTTAACGTGTCCGGTAAGGTCCGGGGTGTGACAATTTAATTGGTATAAGAGCCTTAGTCCATAAACTTCATAATGAAGTCTCAAAATTCTCTTTTAAATAAGTTGGACTTCATAAAAGTAAATAAAGTTCGTGTGGTAGTTTAACTAATTAATAGGCTGTGCAAATGTATATTTGAACTCAATGACTCTAACAATTTTGTACATTCATATATTGTAAAACACATTGTAATTACAATTTAATTTAATCCTACAACAATTGTCTTCATTAGTTCTGTAGCTTTTTATTCGGAATTCATTTCATGTACTCCCCCACTGGAATGGTTGGATTAATCTATTTGTGCCATACTCGGCCCTATTTCGGCCCACTTAAGCTCTTGTTGCTTCACTGTGCTTGGGTAGCCCATGCAGCAAAACCCAAACTGCCCAGCAATATTTATGTACCTGTCACAATTATATATATTACATTATTGCCACCAGGTTATGTAAATGAGTTTATATGAGTGAATTATTTTATATCAAAATTTTTATAAATTGATCTATCTGGTTTTCACAAGGCCCGTCTATCCACTAGGCTAGTGAGGCTTGGGCATCAGGGTCCCAAAACAAATTTAAAAATTAGAGGCCCAAAAATTTAAATACATTTATATTATATGTGTATTTAAAACCTGGAGCTGCACTGGTTAATTAGTTTAAATCGTCTGTTACAGAAGTAACAAAACATAGATAACCATAGAGCTATCAAATGTATTCATTGTTGAGTTTCGGGTAATAGCATTGGCCATCCCAACCAAGCACGCGCGCCCACACACACATATATATACACACACATACACAAACATATGTTATGCGAAATTGTATATTCATTATTTTACCTTGATTAAACAATGGTTTTATCGAGTACAAATATGTGTTTTGAAATAAAAAAATTTAAATGAAAAAACAAAATAAAAAAAATATATACGTAGTATATTTTTTCAAAAAATTTAAAACATCAAGAATGAAAATAAGTACTCTTGTCCAATTCAAGAGTTTCCACTTTCATTTTGTGAACGTCTTGGCTAAATATTCTCTTTTTCTGTCTTGGGAAACAATTATTAACACTCTTAAATAACAATTTAATCATCAAATATTAAAATAATACATCTACAACATCACAATTATCATCAATTATATTATATACTCATCAAAACCATTTCTCCAAATATACTCAAATTATCATATTTAATTATTATTCAAATAATTATGTTATTTTACAATGAAAACCTTTGAATGGGACATAGTTAATACTACTTTTAGCATGTTACTAGCCCACAACCACCACTCCATTTATCAACAATCCATTTATGTGCGTCTCATATGTTACCGCTTTCGCAAGAAAGGGAGAGACTAGGGTCGTGAGGTTGCCAATGGGGCGTCATATTATAAAATTCAAACCTCAACCTTTAGCTAACACTATATTTGTGGCTCCGTCACTACACTTTCATAATTGAAGTTGATCTAATTAATGAAGAAGAATTTAAAGATAAATGAATCATATTACAGCTCATTTAGAGATTCATGTTTACGGCTTATCAACCATTTTTTCACTAAACACATAACTTTTGAATCAGACATTGAATTTTTTAATTATCAAATAAGGTTGGAATTACTTTTCTCGCTTAGAGGGTGATTTATTTATTTTTTATAATTTTTTTCTTTATGTTATTAATAGAATATATTTTTAATATTTATTTTTCATAATTCAGCAGATTCAACTAGAATTTAATCATTTTCAAAAAAATCAGCCGATTCAACCAATATGAGTGTTATCAAACGAGTTCTAAATATCTTCAAGAATACTTCATCATTTTTTAAGAGCAGTATTTGATCATCTTTTGTGGTTTCAGTTAATCATCTCTCCTCCACACAAATTTCAACTACACTGTTATTACGGAGGAAGCATTTCATAAAATTCATTTGAAATGTAGTAGGTGAGAGTGTACCTTGGGTGGAACCTTCTACCTAAACAAGAAACACATTTTCTGCCCTGAGACATCTCTCCCATTCCGATCCGCATGCACGCTCTACAATAAACTCTTCCACACACCTGCGACGGTTAGTTCCACGCATTACTATTGTTGTTCCAAAAGGTGGAATCTCCCACCTCAGGAGCCCCCCACACCCCGACCCGACAGGATTTTTGGGAGGATGTAAGTCACGGTGACCCAGTCGACCCAATGGTATGATGGTATGCCTTATACCCGTACGCACCAGAGGTCCAGCCCAGCACGGAGGAGCTGTAACCTCCACACGGTCGCTACGGATTTTGAACCTTGGTCATTGTTTCAAATTTTCCACCACCGAACCAACTGAGCTACCCGTGCGGGTTCAACGCATTACTATAAAAATACTGTATGAGGTGTTTGTTTTCTAGCATTTTCCACCCGAGGACCAAACATCCCCTATATATGACACTTTTCCCAGCCCAAATTTTAAGTTCTAAAATATATAACCACAACAATTGAGAAGTGTTAAAATTTCTAGATTCAGTATTTTAATTTGAACCTTTTCCCAAGACAAACAGGAACTAGGGCCGGCGCATTATATCCTACACTTCCTAGTTCCTATTAGTTGTTTCTTGGTCCAAAAAGGTGGAATCTCTCACCCCAGGAGCTCTCTCACCCCGACCCGATAGGATGGTGGGAAAGTTAATCACGCTGACTCAGTCAGTAAAGCGGCGGTAGACCTTATAAATGTGTGCATCAGAGGTTCAGCCTTATTTCAGGTTCTGTAACCTGCATACGGCCGTTGCTTGTTTCAATTCAATTGGAGAATTAGAAAGCAATATTTTTGATGCAGTATAATTAAAGGCATATGAGCTGTGATAATTCATTTTTATAGAGATCCAACTAAATTAAATTGTTAAAGGTAGTCTAAAGTTTTTGCACCTATGACAATTTCAAACCCGAAAAAGAGAGTGGACTATACGATATACGAATATTAATCGAATCAATCACGATGAGGTGATGATGAATTACAAAATCTTTATCCTTGATATTTCATCTTCTAAAAAAATTGATATTTCATCTTCTACAGTTTTCCTTTGGTGAAGTATTCTTACATATATTCTTAAATAGTTAAATAGTGCTCCTCATGAAAAGGATAAGTAAAGTTGAAAAAATTAAACGTGAACAAAGTAACACCAAATTTTTATCCCGCCCAGGGATGGATTTAAGGGGGGGCGCGGGGGTGCGACCGCCCCCCTTGGACTTTCAAAATTTTCTACTATATATGTAATGTTTTTGTAAAATTTTGATACTTTAATTAGATTCGTCCCCTTATTTTTTTTTGTTGAACATTGCCCCCCTTAACTTTTAGTTTTTAAAATTGATATATAATCTTACATAATGTAATACTTAATCGGAGACTTAAAAAAGGAACATCTAAAATAATTTACATAACTTAAATAAACAATAGAAGAACTCATTATTTGAGATGTAGGATACTTATTATATAAAAATTCTTAGTTTTGTAATGTTTAATTATCTTTATTCGATAACTAGTAAACAATTTTGAAAAATATATATCAAACGATATTAAATACCACACACTCTAGCTACAAAGTTTTTAGATCATGTGAAGTAATCCAAATTATAAATGTTTATTGACATTGAATTACACTATTCATTTAGTTCTTACATTCTAAAAAGACTTTATTGCATAGATAATAAACTTTAATTATTTTAGCATTAATACAAATATAATATGCACTATATATATGAATTATCAATATAATATTATTCTAAAAATAATAATATCATACATACTATTGTAATATTAAAAGAACTGCTTGTGACTTATGAACACCCTCAATGATAGACAAAAAATGTAATTCAAAAATCAATTCTTTATTTCTATAAGACTCATGTAGTTAAACAATGTTGAAATTATTTTAAAAGTACTCGTGAATGTGAACCTTATAAACTTTTTATATTTAAATAAAATGTTATATATCCTTTTTTATTTTTGTATTATTTTCCATTGATTTGTCATTTCTTATGCTTTAATTTATCAATACTTTTTTCTAGAGCACTCCAATTATAAAATTAAAGTTATTTTGTCATTGTCTAAACTTAGAATGTAATATATAGATTAAATTGTCGTCACGTATGTATTAATGAAATTTTTTTGAATAAAAATAACCGCAGAGCCTTACACTAGTGAAAAAATTCACCCCGCTACACTAGAAAAAAAATTCACCCCGCGACACTAATGAATTTTTTATCTCCTACACTAACGAAAATTTTCGCCCCCCTTGACTCGAAATCCTGGATCCGTCCCTGATCCCGCCTATTCCAAATTGTTTTGCACATTTAATTTTTAATAATTAAAATTTACATATTTAAAAACTACATTAAAATTTCTATAAAATTGTAAAATCCAAATTAGAATATAATTAAAAATTGATATATTAATTATGTGTATAAAATGAAATTGTATAAAAAAAGTTGACTTTGCAAATCAATTTGGGACGGGGGTAATAGTATATGCTTTGTACCTACGGAGTATTATATTAAAAAGTTTCAATAAGACAAATTTAACAATATTTTTTCCAAAAAATATATATTAATACATTAATAAATAAAACGTAATTAAAGTAGTACATGTGAATTGTTTGTATCATAGATGTACTTCATTTTACATGGTGTTTGTAATTACTCACTCCCCCTCGGTTTAAACAACTGAATTGCCATTTTTAGACATTCTAGCTGAAATAATTAACAATATTAATTAAATGATAAATTAACCAATAAATATAAAAAATACTACACGTTTAGCATATCACTTATTATCAATAACATCATTACGTTATACTTCATGTGTTCTTTTTTAGTTGCAACAATCAATATATCTTATTCTGTACGGAGTATTAGTAAAAAAATTAAAAATTAGATTTTCAAAGTTTTTAATGAGACAAATTGAACAATCTTTTTTAAAAAAAAAGTTCTTATAAATTAATAAATGATACTTCGTATATAGTCAAAGTAGAGAATTGAACATGAATAGTGTATAATATACAACATGTTTCAACTAAAAAAGAACATACGATAGTATCAATCAAAAGTACTTCTAAAAATACACTTGGATATCTTATTTAAAAGTTGGGATGGAAGTGGTATAAATTAACTTTGCTTACATTAATGTTTTTTAAATCTAGATCAAAAGTCTAGTGCCACATGACATCGTTATTAAATCTAGAGCAGTTTGGTAGTACAAAAATCGGCTGTTTTGGCTTATTCTGCTGAAATTTATGAAGTTCTGTCTGAAGTAGCTGCATTGACTGATTTGATGATTTAAGAAAAAATTATTTTTAAAATTTGTTTTATTAATAAAATAAAGAAAAAGTTATATGTAAAAATAGTTAAAATGGTCATCTACCGTAACTTCAACCAATATAGTCAGAAAAGTAATTTCAATATTACTTTTTCTGCTTATTACACAATTCAGCTCGCGAAAGTAAAAATTACGTATTTGATGAAAAACGGTGTTGCCAAACGGCCTCCATAGTCTAATATGGGGTAATTAGTTTAAGACTTTAAGTCTGATCTACTCAGCTCTCTAGTACTCCGTATAACACAACTCATATGGGCTAAATAAAACCTGAAAACTTACCAAACAGCGGTGCCGGAAAAAGTAGATATAGGTTCTACAAAGAGTGCAGCTATTTGTATGAGGAGTCCCCGGCCGGAAGCTGCTTTTGCACGACACCGACTTTTTCATAACAACCCCGCCGTTTTCCACCGCAGTATAGGGTGGCCGCCGCGTCGGTGCAACCTCCACCACGTCTTGTTGCGGCCGCTCTTCCTCCTTTGTCGCCGCAACAAGAAGGTGGTTGAAGCTAAGGTTGACAGATTCATCTGGAACGCCCACATACAGCTCTTCTAGCTCTCTTTTTGCTTCCTCCACGCTTCGGCCTTTTCGCAAATCCCCCATTAAGCTAGTTATTAATATCTTAATTGAAAGAATTAATAACAATTAACAATAATGTGGAGATCAGGAGATAAATTAACTTAGAAGTGGGTTAACCTGAAAACATATTTTGTATGCATCAAGTATACATAATAATATGGGAACATTTATATACGGAGTATGTAGCTGGTGAGAATGGAAAGGTCAAGCATGTACGTGCGGACCACGGCCACAATGCCCAGGGATAATAATGAATTAATGATGCTATTCGGCTTGTATGATTGAAAATTTGTACCTTTTTATACATATAGTATTATTATGCCACTTTGATGCGTGATGATGGATGTAATTGAATTTGTCCGTAAAGATATTATTCCCATGATGCCATGATGATTAATGTTTATGTAATTAACTTCACACTTTTACTTCACACATATTAAGAAATTTTACTGTAGAGTACACTGTTGTGACATTATTTAGCACTATTTTGGCACTGTTTTAGTGTAGATTTGTTTGTCAAATAAGGAAGTGAAAACTTTGTTGAGACATTCAAAAAAGAAAAGTGTAAACTTAAATAAGAACCGGATAGAGTATATAAAAGTGGGGCGTGTTAATTAGGAACATATTTTTTTTGGTAAGAGGTATACAAACATTGGTAAATTTTATACCTTCGTCCCAAAATGATGGTCCTGTTTCCCGAAATGATAGCCATCTTTCCCCTTTTGGTAAAGAAATTAAAGCAAACTACCACTTATATCACTCATTTTTAATGAACAGTAAAAGTAAAGGAGTGAACAGTACAATAAAGTGAGATTACATGAGTCCTTATAACACTTTAATTTTTCTTAATATTTGTGCCCAAAAAGTATATGACCATCAACTTGGGACGGAGGGAGTACTCCGTATTAGTGGGGGCCACCCCAAGAAATTATTTGAGACAGAGAATGGGCTTGGGCGGCCAAATGGCAGGGGTGGTGAAGGGGGGGGGGGGGTGTTTGACTTGAGGTAAATGGAATCAAAAGGACAAAAGGGGGACCATGTCCTTACCATCATTAAGGAAATGAGCCAAAAAGACATTCCCATCACTCCTAACCCCTATCATTCGAACCAAGACTCATTTAGGGGGAGATAAGGTTTGCATAACCACCATTTTCATCTTCCATTTTCGCACCAAGAGCAAGGGAGGAAGAAGGAAGGAAAAAGAGAAGAAAAAGGGGTGATTGAGAAGGACAAGTCTAGGATAACAAGGTAATGACTCCATTAACCCCATTTCTTTTCCTTAATTTTCCCTTATGATTATATAATCATATTTTATACACCCCTGGACTTGTTCTACACATTCAAACGTGTAGAATGTGGGGTTGGAAGGTAGTTCTAAGTCCGTTAACGGGCTTAGAAGCCAAAGTGACCGGTTCACCGGAAAATAACCTTTTAGAAGTTATTTGTATTAATATGGGTTTTGTGATGGTAAAACCTTATTAGGAACTTGTCTAAGGTGTTCCTAGTATTTCCACGGAGTTATAAAAACATGCCGGAGTTTCGCCGGAGTTTCACAAAAGTCACCGGAGCTTCGTCGGAGTTCAACCAAGGAGGGTATAACTCCATAAGCTTCATTTAAGGTGAGAAGACGGCTTTATGTTTTATAACTTTTGCGTGAGGCATGAGATTACCTAAAGTAATCAAGGATATGTTTTATGGAATGAGTAAAGATAACCAAGTGTTTGCTTATGCCATGATTATACATAAAACATAGTTGAAAAGCATGTTATGTAGGTTTGATGATTAAAAGTGTGATAACTTATTATGTATGATGTTCCAGGGAACCAAAATGGTATTTTTGGATCAAGGACGTCAAGAAGTACATGTGTATAAAATTTCACGTTAATCGAACTTCGTTTGCATATTCAAACGGGCGTTGACCGGCAAGACAAAGGTGACACCCGACCGGGTATGGGTAAATACCCGACCGGGTTTTGATTAAAAATGGCTCCAGAAGCCACTGCCACACTAGACCCGACCGGGTATGGGTATAGACCTGACCGGGTCTCAAGTAAAGTTGGCTCCAGGGGCTACTGCCTCACCCTACCCGATCGGGTAAGGTTGAATACCCGACCGGGTATTGGGTTATACTCAAAATGGGAAGTTTTGAGTAGGTTAACGTGGGCCGTTCAGGTGGGACCCGTCCACGTTGGTTACTAAGGATGTTTATATGACTATAGGGCTAGGTTTGTCCATAGTTAAGGGAATGAAAGGTTAGCCATATCCAGATTACGATTTGGTAGAGAATATGCGGGGGATTGAGTTCCCTTGGACGATAAATGATCCAGAATTCTCCAGGTGGGGTCGGGTACCCTTGGACGGTAAATGATCCAGAATACTTCAGGTGGGGTCGGGTACCATTGGACGGTAAATGATCCAGAATACTCCAGGTGGGGTCGAGTACCCTTGGAAGGTAAATGATCCAGAATACTCGAGGTGGGGTTGAGTGCCCCTGGACGGTAAATGATCCTAAATACTCCAGGTTGGATTGAGTGCCTTGGACGTACGGTAAATGATCCTAAAACACTCGGTAGTATGAATCGAATGTAGACTATAGATTGTGAGCTAGGCATCCGGGAAAGGAGTGAGAAAAGTCAGGTAAGAACTTTATCTCTAAAAGACTCTTTAAATGAAATGACCTACGGATTGAGTATTTTACAAATATATATACAGTATGTATAAACGGGTGGATGAGTCACATATATATATATGAAAGGTTCTTCAGGTGGGGGATTGAGTTCCCTTGGACGATAAATGATCCAGAATACTCCAGGTGGGGTCGGGTACCCTTGGACGGTTAATGATCCAGAATACTTCAGGTGGGGTCGGGTACCATTGGACGGTAAATGATCCAGAATACTCCAGGTTAGCCATATCCAGATTAGGATTTGGTAGAGAATAGGCGGGGGATTGAGTTCCCTTGGACGATAAATGATCCAGAATACTCCAGGTGGGGTCGGGTACCCTTGGACGGTAAATGATGGAGTATATGGCCCGGGAACACCCGGCCCACAGACTCCTACTACTCCAGTAGAGGCCCAACAGGCCCAGAAGGCCCAACAGGCCCAAATCACGACGCCCAGAGTACCAAGCAGCCCGCAATACGCATCAGGGGTGCCTTCGGCCCCCTGGCCGGAGGCTCCAAACTATCACAGCATGGATATTTCGAACAAACAGAGGAACTTGGAGAAAACGGCGAAAACAGTAGCCCTCGGCACCTGGAGCCCTCGACACTCAGGGGTCCTCGGCACTAAGAGCCCTCGGCTAGTCCTCTGCAGCCGAGGGCACCTCTCCCGACATGATATCCGCCTCACATGCATACAGATCACCGTACCCTGTACAGACGTCCCATCCAACAGCCGCATTAAATGCGGCCACATGCGGCTGCCAACGCCAACCGGTTGAGGTGACCCCTCGGCCAATAGGCGCTTGACGAGTGTCCCTGTCCGGCATTTATTGCTACTATAAATAGCACCCCATTTCCCCATTTGTAACCACGCTGAAAACGCTCCACATTTATAATACACTCTCTCTCTCTACATTTACTTGCTCTGACTTCTCTCTAAGTTATTCCCAACAATAACCCTTCGGACATATACCCCCGGGTAGACTATCCATCATTTGGTGCTTTCATTGAGAGGTCGAACAATCGAGTAAGAAACCCTCCCCCTTCGCCAAACACTAGCCCTCTACCAAAATGGTGAGAACAACACGTGCCAACTCCAAAAACGTAGAAGACAAGAACCTGGCCCTCGGCGACGTCAACGCCCCCGAAGCCTCTCACAGGGCTCCCGAGGGCGGTGTCATCGCTGGGCTGGAACAGGCGGCTGTCAACCTACGCCTTCAGATCCAACAAAATGCCCCCGATGCCCACCTCGGCATCGAGGCCAAGAAGAGAAACCGGAGCGATGACCAAGTCAGCCCTCCGGTTCTCACCATCGACGTGCAATCGGCGCTCTCCGCCTTCATCCAAACGCTCACTCAGAACCCGGGTGCCTTCGGCACCCTGGCTCCGGCTCAACCCCAGGTTGGGGAGAACATCATACTTCCCCCTCTGCTACACCCCTTCGGAAACCCCCTCCCTCGGGTTAGGAATGACGAAGGGGTAGTGGCCCAAGATACGTCCTCCCAGGAAGTTCAGTCCCGGGACCGCCACCATGACAACAGAGAAAGGCCCCGCACTTCCGCCCTCAACCGGCTCGGAGGAGGGCCAAACCGCCGAGGGGTCCAAGACCGCCTCGGAGGGAAAGCACTCCAAAGGCCCCAGGAAAGCGGAGGGTCTGTCTCGAGGGCAGACGAGGAGCGCCCCCCTCGGGACAAAGGCAAGGCACCCCTTCATGCCAATGATGCTCGCCACCAGATCAACCAGGCCCACTCGACCCGGGTTCGTTCGCAGGGGGCGGAGACCCTCCCGAAGGATCCCCGGGACGAGATTATTGCGGCCCTCCAACGCCGGCTTGACGATATGGAGTCCAACAAAGCTCACGCCACCACCTCCACCCCTCACTCAGACCTCAAATACGAGGCCATGATGGCCAAAATGGAGGAATTACAGAAGAAGGTGGCCGAGGGCTCCGGGGAACCTGTCATCCAGCTCTGGACTCGGACGCCATTTACCCCAAGGGTATTGGCGGCCCGGATCCCGGAAAAATACCGAGGGCAACACATACAGCCCTATAACGGGAAGACGGACCCCCAGGAACACTACAGCAAATATCAAAACAGCATGATGATGGTGGGGGCGTCGGATGAATATTTGTGTCGTTGTTTCCTCTCCACCTTAGAGGGGCCGACATACGAATGGTTCAACCGGTTGCCCGAGGGCTGCATTGATTCGTGGCAAGAACTCGCCCAGCGATTCTTGACACAATTTGCCGGGAGGCGTCGCACAAGGAAGCACTTCTCCCACCTCCTAACCATACGCCAGAAGAGGGATGAGACCCTTCGGGACTTCCTGGAGCGCTGGAGGACGGAAGCCGACAAAGTCGACGGTGCTGATGACGGGACCCTCCTGGCCCTCCTACAAACCGTCCTCCGCACTGGCAACTTTTCAAGGAGCCTCATCATTGAACCCCCCCGTGACTACATAAGGGCTTTGCAGTGGGGGGACCGATATGTTGAGGCCGAGGAGGTGGAGAAATATCACCAGCATCCGGATCAGCAGCCCCCGAGGGCTGACAAAAAAAACAATCGAGGGCCGGGGGCTCCTCCAAATCACCCAA